TGTTATTGTTATTGTGTTAGAAGAAACAAACCTATATTTATAGAGTCCTAAAACCTTTTCTTACTAGAAAAGGACTAGCTACTCCAAAAAAATTTCCTAAAAGGAAAGAATAAACCAAATATGAAAGAATATTATATTTTCCTTTCAGGAAAAGTAAAAACATTTATGTTAATGTTTTGTCTTTTCTTTAAGGAAAAATAAATCTTAAATTATGGTAAGAAAATCAGGGCAAAACCCTAACAATAATTACTCTACTTTCACAAAGGAATTACGACGATGATGAGTGTAGATCATATTTGTTTTGCCGTAGGCATGCATTATCGGTAATATCTCGAATAAGTTGCCATAGTTACCACCTGACATTTTTAAAGAGTCCTAGCAAGTGACCAGAGGTGAACCTAGGAATTGAAGACTTCGGATACTCCAATATTACCTTAGCTCAAATATGAGCTCTAAGCTTAAAATAAAAATCGGTAATATCTCGAATAAGTTGCCATAGTTACCACCTGACATTTTTGAAGAGTCCTAGCAAGTGATCAGAGGCGAACCTAGGAATTGAAGACTTCGGGTACTCCAATATTACCTTAGCTCAAATATGAGCTCTAAGCTTAAAATAAAAAATAATGAAAAAGGGCTTTAGCTGGTTTCGAACCCTAGTCTCACGGGTGATTCCTCTAGCTTGTACCAACATCCCAAGGGTACTCCTATACTTCTCATGGGTGCACTTTAAACTATATTTTAGTTTCTGCCAGTTTCTCAAAATAGATATACATATATACACGTGATTTTTTTCGAAGTTAGGGAGTGCACGTGCGGTAGAGGACCCACATGGTAATCTCCGGGTGCTCGAGCACCTATTAGCCTCGTCTAGGGATATAGGTATTTGTATAAAATTAATATAGAGCACCCAATGACCAAATGATCTAATTAGTCCATTGGCTTTCGGGTGGGTGCTTAAGGCTCTTATTGTGTTCTTGAATTTGAGTTCGAATCTCACTTTTAACATGTCTTTTTTATATTTTTTTGCTTGAGTACCCACAACCTTAAAATCCTAAATCCGCCACTGCGTGCACCCCCTCCTTAAGGTCTGAGTCTGCCTCTGCCAGCAACATAAATCATTAGTTCCATGAGACACCATAAAGAGTCCGGGCAACATAAGTCATTAGTTCCATAAGACACCATATCACTCATAAAGAGAATTGTTGTTGTAACGACTCTCTTATTCATTAAGGTCACCGGGGTTTTTCAGCATGTCTTCGTCACCGTGAATACAACATCTCTTTTAAATTATTAATTGTATGAGTTATTCGATATACAGGTCGATGATGAAAACATGAAATGAGTTTAAAGAAACAATTGTGGATTCTATTAAAACAAAAGACAACAAAAAGATTCTATAAGAAGTGGGGGAATTTAGAGCAAGAGCCAAAAATTTAAAAAGTAGAGTAACTTGGGATGACTAGAACTATTTAACAGCCATGACTATCTGCACCGTTACATTTTTATAATATATAAACAATGCCCCTTAACTTGGCTTCAGCTAGCAACTAGGATCATTAATTTTGAACATGCACAAGTAGGCATTCTAACTATCCAAAACTTAAACAAATAAATACTCAAATGTTGCATGTTATATGCGTGATGTACAAATGCTCCTATATGAATTTCACATATGACATAAATTTTCATAACTAATGTCACATAGAACACATATGTCTATGAGTCGTGATAAAATTGGTATCAGAGTCCTAGATTCATTGTTCTCGTTGTACCAAAATAGGTCTAGTAGAATCTTGCGAAATAGTACTATATTTGTACTTTTCTTCGAGTGGCTACATTACTTTAGGAAATTATCTCTTCTTTCTTCCTTCGTGTTATAACTTGATTCCAATTGGTACCTGGTGAAATAAATTGGTATATGACATTCTTCATTGTTTGTCCGCAAATGGTTGATACTAGACATAACATAGTGAGGGTACCAACTCCAGCTGCGAAACTGTAGTGCAAGAGCGAGGAAGGGGCAGGGGCAGAGGAAGAGTAACATCCACCAGAGGTGGAGATCAGGTAGTGGCTGGGCCAAAATCGACAACCCTTCCCCAATCCCATGATCGAGTTGGAGAGGATGTTGAGGTAGAGTACGATGAGGGTACGGAACCAGAATTGGTAACAAAGGTTGGGGGTGTAACAACCGACGATTTGAAATAATTATGAAGAG